AAAAAAGCAATAGAAATTGGGAAAAAATCGGTAATTTTTGAGAGGGGAAAGGGCCGATATTCGGACCTGAAGAGGATATAGAAAAATTACTGCATTGTTACATAATTTAGCTAATAAAAAAGAAATATCACCTCTTTACTTGACTACTGACGACATATTTATTATTTATTTGGCACATTATCAGGTCTGGACGATTTCCAAAAATGGAAGTCAAGAACGATAACTGAAAGTTGCCATAAGTATACATCATATACACGTAAATATTTTTCTGCCCAATCAGAACACAGCATTTTTACACATCCCAAAACATATTTCAAAGGGGTTAAAGTTAAAACTGAATATGTATCCAATATTTCACCATCTGCGCTCACCCAACGGTGATACATGTACTGTTAACATACAGGGGTTTTTCTAGGTCTTTAAATCAAGAGCCTGGGCTTTTCTATTTGGAAAAAATAGCAAAATTTGGTTGTAATTAGCAGCAGGGACCTATATATTGTTAGTATATAGGTCCCTGTTAGCAGATTAGAGAAAATATCATATTTAACACTTTTTTTTCTAAATGAATTCGAGTTTTTCTTCATTTGCAAGGTATTAATTGATTTATTTTACATTCAGTTAATCAGTTTATGGAGCATGCCTTTTAAATTTTTTTTAGCATCATTCCTGTTACATGTATACATGTTACTGAGTTCGACGGACATTATTCTAACCATACTTGTTTGTTTCGATTGTCTTGTGTGCAGGGGTGTGCAATTACCATCGCCCGACGCCCGGGGCTACCAATTTTAGAGATCGGGCTATCATAAATCTATACTGCGTTAGCCCGTCGGGCTAGTAAACACTGGTAAATCTAAAACGAAAGTATACATATATTTACGGCGACTGAATTGATGTACGAATTAACCTTGTTGTAAAATCATAATCTTTAATTCGTTTTAACCTATATGTTTTGTGTGTTGCTATCGCCAGTCGTTTCAGTGACATAATAATTATAGCAGGGACCTAGTATATAGGTCCCTGATTATCATAGTCAATAAAAATAGGGAGAAAAAAGCGCAAACCATTATTTGTTTTATTTATTTCAACTTAAATGTTTTTTTTTTAACCTTTTTGTTATACTTATACATGTATTGTTTTCGGTAGTTAATGGGCTAGTGACTGGCAACCTCGGGCTAGTAACTTTGTTACTGCCACTAGCCCGACGGGCTAGTAACTAATTTTTGTAATTGCACACCCCTGCTGTGTGAGTTCTTACGTCCACTGTTCTTGGCAACTTAGCCCATCTTCCCGTTTCTGACCACTCCATATTGACTTCGGTACAAATTATGAGAGCAATGAATTCCTAATAACTTACCTTTTTTTTTTTTGGTTCTCTCCAAATCTTTGCATTTACTTAGGCGCCATAACGAGAACATTAAGAATTTCGAACCCGATCTAAATTCAACGGATTTCTCTAAAATCCATATCTTCTAAGTAATTTTTAATAAAATTTTAAACTCCTTCAAATTTTCATTAATCATATAAATCACATTTTTCCCATTATTTTGAGTACAATTGAAAGTACATGTTTCTCATTTATTCTCATTTATTCCTTGTAAATAAAATTTCACATCAAATATTTATCTTTGTTTTACTTTGTGTTGCTGGAATTCAGTTCAACCTGACTATCCCAAGAGCAGACTATTATCCCCTCTTAGGGTAGCAGTACAGTAGAATAGAGGGCCGTAGGAACAGAGAAGTGGTAATGGTGGGGAATGTTGGACACAAGCCCCCCCCCCCCCCTCCCCTGAAGAAACACTCAAAAATATCATTTTTGAAACAGAGTAGATCATAATTCATTTGTTTAAAGTAACACTGCTAGATTTTCTTTATTTTATATGTGAAAAATGACTTCAAGGATGCACCAGAACCCACCAAAATGTATATTCATTTATTAATGATTTTAATTTAAGGATTGCACAGGATTGAGTCCTGGAAAAATCTTGTGGTTGGCATATGCCCCCCCCCCCCCCAAAAAAAAGGTATAAGTAACACAGGCACTTGATTCGATAAAAAAAAATTAACCCATAGTATAATAATATTGCGTTATTACTATACTATTTATTACTGAAACAAGTGCCTGTGATAAGTAAGTAGTAATTAAAAATACTAATAAAAGTACTTCATAACACACTAATTGGTACAGTGTGCCCCAAAGAGGCATATAAGTAAGAAAAAGTACAAGTAAACCCAATTTTATTAATACACCAATTAGCAGAGTTATCATACATGTAAGTACATGTATCATACAACAAAAATATGTATGTATACTTATCTTGAAGCTTTTTTGACATTTAAATTTTCTATTTAGAATTTTATTGATTTTTTTTTTTAAATTGGGTAGTTGTGGTACACTACCCCCGTTTTATATCCTTTTTCTTTTGCTAATAAATACATTTTATCATTTCATATAAAGACTTCAAAATTATCTTTGGTAGACCCAGGATTTTTTAAAGGGGGGTTCAACAGGCTAATAATGGGGTCTGAGCCAGTGAGGGCCACCTTGTGGCCCCAGTGGGTAAAGGACAAAAGCCCCTTTAAGCTCCGAGGATTTGGGTCCTTTTTAAATCAGTTTTGTGAGTTGTGTTATGTATATTTTATGTATAATAAAAGCAATATCTAACCAAAAAAAATGATTATTTCACCTTTACTAAATTTTGGCACACATGAGGGGGAAGGGGTATATAGAAACTGTTTTAAGAACAGTTTTTTACGGTAATAGAAATTTCATATTCATCCAGGATTTTAAATTTAAAATACGAATAATAGATTTACCTCCTAAAATTATGTTTCTGGGGAACATAACAAATTTTATTTTAATGCTTTATAGGCAGTGAAAAGGAATTATACACTTAAAGACCTTGAAGACTCAGATTCATATTTGAGTTGTTATTAATATAATTATGATATATGCTGATAAAACAGATTATGACATAATATTAAAAAATAATATTTATACATAAAAATTATCAAATGTAGTACCTTAGAAAATTACATGAATTAATAGCCAAATTATTGTTACTACAAAATAACATATCTTTACTTATAATATCTAAAATTATAGACAGAAACTGTTTACATCATTGAAAACTGCAGAATAGAGTAAAAACCTCTGCAATACCTTAAATTCTTGAACATGTAATTGTAGAAGTAGTCTTTGACAATATATGACATTGTAAGTCTTGTTCAAATCTTAAACCAAATTTTACTCATTGTTCAAAAACTAAAGAGTGTCATAAAAGGAAGGAAGTGGTTTGTGTTGCATTAATTTTTGTAGAATCGTTTGTTATTGTATCTCAAAACACAAATCTCAGATTCTCGTACACAAGAAACCCCCCCCCCTCCACCCCCCACCCCCCGCGCTTACTATCAGCTTCTTTAAATAATGCGTCAATCATATCCATGTTTCGAACGTCAAACCATGAGCATCCACAAACTTAATAATTAATTAAAATAAATATTTGATGATTTTTAAAAAGATGTATCATTATGAATGAAAAGAAATTAAAAATGTGTATTCAGAATTTCCTCGACGTTCGCTGTTAGTCAATATTGACCATAGGTGCTTGAGGACAGGACTCCCCCCCCCCCTCAATATAGACCCCCGGGCCTTTTCGACTTTTTTTTCATAAATTATCTTTTAGTAACATATTTGTGATATAATCCATACAATCAGCCCGAAAAATTACGAAAAACAAACATTTTATAAAAATTCCCCACTCTATATATAAAAAACAACTGTTTTTTATATATAGAGTGGGGAATTTTTATAAAATGTTTGTTTTTCGTAATTTTTCGGGCTGATTGTATGGATTATATCACAAATATGTTACTAAAAGATAATTTATGAAAAAAAAGTCGAAAAGGCCCGGGGGTCTATATTGAGGGGGGGGGGGGGGGGAGTCCTGTCCTCAAGCACCTATGATATTGACGCTATGCAAGCGCGTCGTATAAAAAAGGGGAAAATAATATACAAAAGACGTATAAAACATAAAAAAAAACAGCTGCAAATGATAGTAAGTAACAGATTTATACTTACGAAAAAGGATCCAAAGCACTTCGAGGCGTCTGCCATCGTCTTCTTTTCTGGTTCTCCAGGTCGACCGGAAACCAGGCAACTTATTGCCAGACAAACATGAGTCATTTGTAGACCATGAATTTTCGAAATTTTAAATACTGAACTCACGAATGAATGAAGGGTAAGAAAATATAGGAAATGATTAAACTAAATGGGATATTAATTAAAACTATTCATATATAGCGGATTTTGATTAATATTACACATTTTCTCTGGGCGACTTAATAGATATATATATTCCTATGAAAATATATGCCGGGTTATAAATAATTTAATTATTTCTCGCTATGCGAATAAAAAATGCAGAAATTATAATTGCATTGAAAAAAATAATTACGAAAGAGTCTTATTTCAGGACATCAGTCATCTTACCACAAAGTACACTGCCTTAAGGATCAGTTAAAATATTAGGGAGACCGGAAAAAGTCTGCTTAATCCATCGGGGTCCCAGACCGATATATAAATGCTTAACTGGGTTCCCTAACCAAGAAGTCCGGATTATATATATATATATATATATATATATATATATATATATATATATATATATATATACACGTATATCATCTTCTGCAGTTACCCAAAATATGAATTTTAAAGAGAATGTTTAAAAAAAAAAATGTGAGTGATTTTTAAAACATTAGTAACCCAAACCCATCCACTTACTTTCTTAAAAAAAATTAATTATTGGCCAGGGATCCATATCCTCCGTTTTACACAAATAAATCTGTGTCACATTTGCTAAATAAAACATGTATCAGAACTGACTACAATCTAGATGATTAAAACTTTCCCATTTTAATAGATTACTAAATGACTAAGTTATAATGCATGTAATAATACATTTTTAATTTTTTCCTCTTCATTATATATTTTGTAGGTGGATCAAATGGCAATGCACTGAATACAGATGGGGATGATGAAGTTTTTGCTGTAAGTATAGACACAACTTTCCACCTAGCAGCTTCACAGAGGCTGGGATGGTTGTAAATAGATTTTGATAACAAGTGATTTCACAGATAGTAAGAATACCAAGAGATAACCTAACTTGCACATCCGGAGTTGTGTACCACTCCTCATGGCTGATGTATGAATGTGTTAATTCATTGAAGTAGGAAGCTCCAAGCTGATCATTTAGAGATTGGATTTTTAATAAGTAAGTTTATTGAAAATCTGCAAATAAATAAGGCAGAAAATCACAAATGACCCTCATTTATTTGAATTTTCAAACAGAACTTACTGTGGAGTGACGTTGTCTTTAGGTCATCTGTTTTTAGCTAAGCTTAATTTTTTTAGGTGACTTATTATTTTCTTCTAATTTACACATAGGACTAAATCAGGCCATCATTAAATTTTTTGTTTGTTTGATGTACTCCAACCCACAATTTTTAAAATTGTGAAGGTAGGTAGGTATTTTTTTTAAGCCCCGCCATGAATATGGCCAAAGGATATAGTTTTTGTCATGAATGTCTTCCATCTCTCTGTCCTCTCATCGGTCTTTCCGTCACACTTTGAGTTTTGTTCAGTTTAAAAAAAAAAAAATCAAGATATTTTATCAAACTCCATATGCTGATACATACTGATGAGAGCTATTCAAGTGCATCAACATTTTCTGACTTTGAATTTCCTTTGACCTTGACCTTTTCTTAAATTTGTGTTTAGCTAATTTCAAAGAAACTGTTTTAAGATATTTTTAATCAAACCTTATTTCCTGATACAGACTGCTAAGAACTATTCATTTTTATTACTTTTTGACCTTGAGCTTTCCTTTGACCTTGACTTCACTTTTCTTAAATTTGTGTATAGCCAAGTTTCAAAGAAATTATTCATGATATTATTATCAATTTTCATATGCTGATACATACTGATGAAAGCTATTAACTGCATCAACATTTTTTGACCTTCCTTTGACCCCGACCTTAATCTCCTAATGTAGTGATTATCTCAATTTCAAAGAAATTTAAGATATTTTTATGACTTCTTATATAGTTGCGCTTATATATAATTGATGAGAGCTGATCAACTGCATCATCATTTTTTGACCTTGGCCGTTCCTTTAACCTTGACCTCACTTATCTTAAAAGCTTAATTTCAAGATATTTTAATCAAACCTAATATGCCAATACTTATATATGAGAGCTAATAAACTGCATGAACATTTTGTACCATGACCTTTCCTATGACCTTGACTTCAAATTTGTGCTAAGCTAAATTTCAAAGAAAGTATGTAAGATATATTAATCAAACTGTATATGCTTATACATATTGATTTGAGCTACAGTGGCGACGCGTTAATCTGGACGCCATATATCCGGACGCTTCACCATCCGGACGATATTTTTGGGGAACCGATTTTTTCCACCTTATTTTGTCTCATTAATCCGGAAATTCGCACTCCGCATCCGGACGGTCGATTTCTACTACAAAACGTAATAGTTCATTGAAAAATGACTCTTTTATTCGGACGGTAATTTTTTAAGAAACGACTTTTTCACACTTATCTTGCAGTAGTGTTAATTTTTGTAAAAATATTGGCCATGCAGTCAGTTTGAAGGCGGTTACCTGTGACCTACGAACAGTGGCGTCTATCATTAGCGTGTGTTTACCCCAATTAAATCACACGTTTATTAGGAAGCTCGAAGAATTTAGCTTACACGATTTCGTTTGGGATAAATGAGGGGCCACTGTACTCATAACATCAATATTTTTTACCTTTACCTTTTTTTGACCTTGACTTCAAATTTGTGTTTAGCATAGTTTCAAAGAAACAAATCAAGATATTTTTATCAAACTTCATATGGTGGTACATATTGAGGTCAGCTATTCAACGTCAACATTTTTGACCTTGCCCTTTCCTTTGATCTTGACCTCACTTTTCTCAAATGTGTTTTTTTTTTTGCTCAGAGAAACTATTCCAGATATATTTTATGTAAGCTTATGCACTGATACGTTATTTGGTGAGAATTTATCAACTGTGTCCTTTTTTTTTTTTACCTTGGACTTCCCAATGACCTTTGACTTTACAATTTATTGTTTTAAACTTAGTTCTAAAGAAACTATTCATTGTATTTTCATCAAACTTCCTACACTAATACAAGTTTTCGTATTGGATTACTAATGAACCCTAGGCGGGGCATTCATGTCCTGTGAACCTATTTCAAGTTTGAATTATCTGACAAATTGAAAACATAATAAAAATAACAAATTTTGATTTACTCATGCTTTCATTATATAATGGACAAGTAGACATGCAGATTTAATATTTTTTCATACATCCTAACTCTACCACTTTAGGCAGAAATCTGCTGCCTTTTTTACTCCAGTACATACTGCTTTTATTCAGAACTGTACCGCTTTCTACAAAAACCTTTTTTGGTTCACTTGGATAGCCATTTTTAGGTCACCTGAGTCACTCAGGTGACCTATTGCTATCCGTTCTCGTCCGTCGGCGTGCGTCGTGCGGTGTGCGTCGTGTGTTAACATTTGAACATTTTTAGCTTCTTCTCTGAAACCGCTTAACCAATTTCAACCAAATTTGGCATATAGCACCTATGGGTGAAGGGGAACAAAAATTGTGAATTCCATGGTCCCTGCCCCCCTGGGGCCTGAGGGGTGGGGCTAAAACCACCAAAAATAATGCAATCTTTAAAAATCTTCTTCTTTACTCCTGGACATCAAGCAGTCAAACTGTTGGCATCATTGTAATAAGCATTGAGTCCTCTACCAAAATTGTGGAATTCATGGCCCCAGGGTCAGGGGTTCTGGTGCTAGGGTGGGGCTATATAGATCATATAGGGAAAGTGCATTATTTCTTTGAAAATCTTCTTCTCTGCTCCTGGGTATTAAATAAAGTAACTAAGTACATAGTTATGAAGAACAAGAGTGCCTCTTTCAAAATTGTGAAATTCATGGCCCCAGGGTCAGGGGTTCTGGTGTTAGGGCGGGGCTCTATTGATTATATAGAGAAAATGCATTAATTCTTTGAAAATCTTCTTCTCTGCTCATGGGTATTAAATAAATTTACTAAGTATATAGTTATGATGAGCAAGAGTGCCTCTTTCAAAATTGTGAATTTCATGGCCCCTGGGTCAGGGGTTCTGGTGTTAGGGCAGGGCTCTATTGAGTATATAGTGAAAATGTATTAATTCTTTGAAAATCTTCTTCTCTGCTCCTGGGTATTAAATAAAGTAACTTAGTACATATTTATGATGAGCAAGAGTGCCTCTTCCAAAATTGTGAATTTCATGGCCCCAGGGTCAGGGGTTCTGGTGTTAGGGCAGGGCTTTATTGATTATGTACATTAGTTAAAATGCATTAATTCTTTGAAAATCTTCTTATCTGCTCCTGGGTATTAAATGAACTAATTTAGTACATAGTTATGATGAGCAAGAGTGCCTCTTCCAAAATTGTGAATTTCATGGCCCCAGGGTCAGGGGTTCTGGTGTTAGGGCGGGTCTCTATTGATTATATTGTTAAAATGCATTAATTCTTTGAAAATCTTCTTATCTGCTCCTGGTTATTAAATGAACTAATTTAGTACTTAGTTATGATGAGCAAGAGTGCCTCTTCCAAAATTGTGAATTTCATGGCCCCAGGGTCAGGGGTTCTGGTGTTAGGGCGGGGCTCTATTGATTATATAGTGAAGATGCATTAATTCTTTGAAAATCTTTTTATCTGCTCCTGGATATTAAATGAACTAAGTTAGTACATATTTATGATGAGCAAGAGTGCCTCTTCTGAAATTATGAATTTCATGGCCCCAGGGTCAGGGATTCTGGTGTTAGGGTGGGGCTCTATTGATTATATAGTGAAAAGGCATTAATTCTTTGAAAATCTTCTTCTCTGCTCCTGGGTATTAGATAAACTAACTTAGTATATAGTTATGATGAGCTAGAGTGCCTCTTTCAAAATTTTGAATTTCATGGCCCCAGGATCAGGGGTTCTGGTGTTAGGGCAGGGCTCTATTGATTATATAGTAGAATTGCAATAATTTTCTCTGCTCCTGGGTATTAAGTACATAGTTATGAAGAACAAGAGTGCCTCTTTCAAAATTGTGAATTTCATGGCCCCAGGGTCAGAGGTTCTGGTGTTAGGGTGGGGCTCTATTGATTATATAGTTAAAATGCATTAATTCTTTGAAAATCTTCTCTGCTCCTGGGCATTAAATAAAGTAACTTAGTACATAGTTATGATGAGCAAGAGTGCCTCTTCCAAAATTTTGAATTTCATGGCCCTTGGGTCAGGGGTTCTGGTGTTAGGGCAGGGCTCTATTGATTATATAGTAGAATTGCATTAATTCTTTGAAAATCTTTTTCTCTGCTCCTGGGTATTAAATAAACTAACTAAGAACATAGTTATGGTGAGCATGACTGCCTTTTCAGAAATTGTTTCATGGCCCTTGGGTCAGGGGTTCTGGTGTTAGGGATGGGCTCCATTGATTATATAGTAAAATTGCATTAATTCTTTGAAAATCTTCTCTGCTCCTGGATATTAAATAAACTAAGTACATAGTTATGATGAGCATGGCTGCCTCAGAAATTATGAATTTAATGGCCTCTGGGTAAGGGGTTCTGGTGTTAGGGCGGGGCTTTATTGATTAGATAGGGAATTGGCATGAATTCTTTCAAAATCTTGTGTGCGCCTGGGTATTTTTCAAACAAAGGAAGTGCATGGTTATGATAAGGAAGAATGCCTCATGGCCTTTGGGTCAGGGGTTCTGGTGAGGGGGAAAGAGCTCTATTGATTATATATAGTGAAAATGCATAATTTCTTTCAAAATATTTTTTCTACTACTGGTTATAAAGTAAAGAAACAAGTGTATAGTTATAATGAGAAAGGGTGCTTCTTCCAGAATTGTGAGTTCGTGGCCAATGGGTCAGATGTTCTGGGTAAGGATGGGGCTTTATTTATTTAATTTTATGGTGAAAATGCAT